GTCTCCCGCCGGGCATTTCCTTCAGTGGACATGAACCCCTATAGGGGCCCATGAAGAGGGAACCTGGAGGGATGGTACATTCCAGCATCGTTGACGAGTCTTGTGTTCATACGGCTCCTCCTCCTCCTCTTCTTCCCCCCCCTCCTCCTTTATCCTCCTCCTCCTTGTCCTCGCGAGCGCCGAAAGCGCACCGCCAGAACCCTCGCGCGTCCGCCGCCGCCAGAGAGCCCGCACGCGGGGGCGTGCGGATCAAGACGGTGCCAGACCACGAGGACCCAGGCGAGGGCGAGCATGAGTGCTGGCTCTTCGCCTGCGACCAGAGGGAGGACCTGGATAGGCCGCCTGGGGGGGGGGGAGGGAGGAAGGAGGGGGAGGGAGGGAGGGAGGGAGGCGCTGTAGGCGCGGGCGGACGTTTCCGCAGCGGGAGGGAAAGAGGGAGAGAGAGGGAGGAGGACGAGGGGGAGGAGGAGGGAGGGAGGGGAGGAGGGGGGGAGCAGGATGATGAGGCAGGGGAGGACTTTCGCCCTCGAGGCGTCGCTCGGGTGGGTGGGTGGGGGTAGATCGTTGCTTGTTTTGCTTTACTGCCTGGACTGGCGCCGCGCGTGCACTAGTGCACTGGAGGCCCCAGGAAAGCCTTGCCTCCGTTGAGCCAGACCCCCTTGACGACGGCCGGCGACGGTCCTGGCCCAGCAGTGGCATGTTGCCTAACCGCCCAGTGGATAATGGCTTGCCTCTCGGGTTGGACCTTCGCTGCCCCCCCCTCGGCAGCCCGCACTGATCGCCCACCTTCCAGTGCACTGGTTTTCGGTGCCTGAGGACGCCTGCGCACACCTCGCGGCGAAGATTCTCAACGCCTGAGGCCTCCCTGGCGCCCCTCCTCCGCGGCCGCCCTCCGCGACCATCCCAGCTGTCTTGTGTGCGCTCTGCCCTGGCGCGGCCCGCCAGCTTTCCGAACGCGTTGGCGACCGCCCTCGCTGCTGACTAACAGTTGTTTTGGTTGTCGTGTTTTTTGGTTCCCCGCTGTTTCGGCCTCCTGGGGGCCGTTATGAGAAGCCGTCCCGCGGCGAAAAAGTCGGTCCCAGAGATGAGGGTCGGGGGCTGGGGGGGCCCACGTCGCGGAGACCAGGCGGCGTCGGAGTTCCCTGGGGAGGAGGAGCATGAAGGAGAGTGGGAGGAGGGCGATGATGATGGTGATGATGATGGTGATGGTGATTGTGATGATGGTGGTGGTGTTGGTGATTGTGATGGTGATGATGGTGATGGTGATGGTGATGGTGTCGGGGATGGTGAGGATGGTGGTGGTTTTGGTGGTCGTGACGATGATGGTGATGCTGTCAGTAATGGTGATGATGATTATTATGATGATGATGCTGATTCGGATGATGATGCTGCTGATGATGACACTGCTGCCGATGATGGTTCTGGTGATGGCGATGGCGATGATGGTGGTGGTGATCATGATGATGATGATGTTTTTTTTCCTCGACGTTAGGGCTAAGAGTAAATGACTTGTTTTATCGTCAGAGCTAAAAATTTACGGCCCGTCGCAGAGAGACAAAACTCTCGGTAGACCCTGCACACGGCGACACTCTCTGGGTGCTTCACAGGGGAGCGGCATGCCAGCGATTGGGGATTACAGCTGCATAAACTCGGCGGCTTCTTCCTCTGCGGCGAAGTCGGCCTCATCGAGGGGCTCTGAATTGAGAGAAGGTCGCTGTGTGTCAGGCGCTGGTCTGGCTACAGCTGGGGTAGGTGGCAGAGCAGGCGTAGGCCTAATGGTCTCAGGTGAGGATGAAGACAGAGGTCGGGACGTTCTCCGTGCCGTAACCGTTCCAGGTAAGACGTCACCTCGCAAGAAATGTATTCGTGGTCGAGCGTCTACAACCAGTGCCCGACCTCGTCCTCGAGCCAGCCCGCTGGCGCTACTCCGTGATGGTGGGTGACCGTGCCCTCTGAACGGAATGCTCTCATGAGCAGCTTCCTGCCTCCCCACTCGGGAGCTCCAATGATCAGAAGTTTCATGTTCCCCGTGTCGAAACAGTTCTCGAGCCGTATGAAACTGATCTCCTCGGCGAGATCGTCCCTCGATATTTCTGGACCCATATGCTCGTCGGGGGGGTTCGTCTTCTTCAGGTAGTCCTCGATCTCGCTGCGTAGCGCCCCCCCCGATGTCGCAGCTGAGTACTCCCTCCAGGGCCGCTAGGCCCATGCTGGGCGCGGGGGAGCCGATCTCCTTCATCTTCTTCTTGTCCTCCGCAGATCCGTGGCGTAGGTGATCCAAGTGGTTTTTGTACCCCTCCAGCTCGTTGCTCACCGCGTCGATCACTTTGTGAGCCTTCGGGCACGTGTAGGTGTCCGTCGCCAAAGAACTGTTGAGTCTCGTGCGATGAGCCGTTTGGAGAGCCAGCTTCAGCGTCGACTTCAGTACTTGTCTTTGCTCGTCCACTTCTTCTCCGAGTGGTCGCCGCGCCTCGTCCTCCGTCCTCCGCGGCGCTGCTTGCGCCGAGGAGCTGCCTCGGCCTACCCCCTTTCCACGTCCTCCTCGTCCTTCTCGCGCCGTTGTGGGGGTGGGCCTGGCGGCTTGGGCTTTGCTGACGGCGGCTGTCCTGCTTTGGGTGCGTTGCCAGATCCCTGTGAGTCCTTCGAGGAGTCCAGGGCTGAGGCGCCAAGCTGCTCGTGCGGGCCCCTTGTCCTTGCTGGCTGCCGCTTCCCCCGTCATCTTGCCGTGGAGGAGGCCTGGGAACTGTCGGTGTCGCTGTCGAGCATACTGGCCGCGCCACTGGTAAATCAGTACTGCCCGTCACTGCAGGCCGTCGTGAACGAATTCGCACTCGGCGTCTGCGTACGGAGACAGGCAGCGCGGGGTCAGCACCTCGCCGTAGTAAATGATCTGTGGCTCGTCGTAGTTGCCGTCGAGCGGCCGATGTATCGCGTACTGCACGGGGTGGTCTACTGACTGGATGTGCCAGTGGCGGAGGTGGCACACCTCCTGGCGAAACGACCTGAGGCCCTCTGGCCTCGCGCCTGAAAACAGCCTTGAGCCGTGACCCACATGGCGACACAGGAAGGTGGGTATACACAGGTGCTCGTAGTTTTCGGGATCCATCTAAGCATAGTGACATGCGGGATCCAGATCGTAATCACAGAGGGGACACGTCGTTGTCGTAGCTGTCGTCCATGGGTACTCATGGTGTGTGAGGTCATGTATGCAGCGTCCAGCAATCCATGATCTTCGTATATGGCGTACAGCATGTTCATGATTAGGGAATGTGGTGCGACAGGCAATACATTTATTGTCCACTTGCAATAATGTGAGGATAGATGGGTACCCATGGCCGTCCGCTTTCGATGCCGTTTGATGTGAGACCAGCCGTTTGATAGTTTCGAACCTTGCCGAGCAGCCAGGAATATTGCATTTGAAGGGTCGGTCGTACTCGGTGTCGCTGTCGGTCTCGACGTGCGCGGCAGACGGCAGGGCCTCGGAGAGCCTACTGGTGCCTGGGGGGGTCCATCTCGTAGTCCAGAAGGTCGCTCGCAGCGCTCGGGTGTCGCAATATCGGAACGCGTCGCGGACCTCCTCATCCTCCTAAAGGGCTTTAAACACCGGTGGCCGCCATCGCTCCCCAAACGTTTGTCCGATGGGATGTTCGGCCAGGCACTGTAAGTCGTCGGCTAACTGTAATGCCCACGGGTGCGTCGAGCTGGCGGTGGCGATCTCTTCCCGCGTAGTGAGGGCAGGGCCAGCACACGGTCTATCGTTCGAGTCTTTCTCGAAACTGCACCTGCCAAAGAAAACTGCCAGAAAGTGGTGGTGATGCGTATGATCGCCAACAATGCTCTGCCACGAACTGAGCCTGCGCACGAGCAACTCGATGGCCGTCGGAGCGACTTGCCATTCTCGAAAAAGCTGAAGTGTGGCGAGGGAACGATGTGCATCGTGTTCGTCAATATGATGTGCTCCTCCTCTCATCGTCGCTCGAAACTTACGTGCAAGTGATGTATCTAGGCGGTGAGTTTCACGCGGGCGTAATACGTAACTTTCCAGGCCTGACCATATGCGTCCAGCTACGTTGAGAGGAATGATAATCTCTTATTTTTCCATGGCCCCCCAGAGAACCAGTAGTCCCCAAGACGATTCCACCCCTCATTTGCTGAGTGAATACGTTCACCGAGCTCACGAAGATTGCTATTTGTGACGCTGACGTAGCCGCCTAAGTGTATGAGATCCTGCTGGGCCCTCCCCAAGACTCTACGTTCGGCTTCCTTTGTGGCAGCTCGGGTTCCCAATGAGACCAGCGTGTCCTGCTTGCCTACGTTCTGGGCGTAGCCTCCGAGGGTGAGGGCCTGGGAGAGGGCATTGTTATCTATCATGTCGAGCAGTATCGCTTGATGAGCCGTCCCGTCAGGGATCAGGATAATCTTAAACAAGTCGTCGATGAAGGCGCCTAAGTGACCCTTGTGGGTCGTCGAGGTAAAAGGGCACACAACAGCGAACGGGTCGCCCTGTACTTCGGCCATCTCCGCTTCCCATTGTGATACCAGGGGGTAAAATGATCCCATGCATAATTCTGGCTCGTTCGAGCCCCCCATCCTCCCTCCAGTCCCTGGCCGAAGAGCGTGGTTAGCGTCCGGGGCCTGTGGGTGTACGACGGCCCGCTCGCGATGCTGAGAGAGGAGTGGGTGAAAATGTTCGTCCTCGCATCTCAGCGTGTGCGCTGCTATCAGCCGTTCGTGCGTGCCCGTGGCGAAGGCGTTGCGCATGTCATAAGACTTGGCCAAGAAAGATAAGCGTGAGAATCGTAACTTCCAGATAATAAGCTTGACCAATACCATAAGTGCCTCTCGCCGACGAGCAAAGATGCCTCCGTAGGCCCGCGGAGGTGGATCGTATTGACTGCCGTACTTCAGAATGCCCATACGGAGATATAGTCGCCCAAAATGGTCGAAACAATTGAGTGGTCGAACACAATTCTGAATATCAAACGTCGGGCGTCCTGTCGGGAACTTTCCTTTCTTGCCGATCGCGATGGCGTGGCTCGTGAAGGCCTGTGCGGGTAATTCCTGTGTGCGATGTGCGTGTGCGATCAGCTGCACGAAGGCCTGCGCGATCTCGTAGCGCGATTGCTGACCCAGTCGAAGCCGTCGCTGTCGGAGAGGCTTTTCCACGGTAGCGAGAAAATACGCTCGAGTATAATCCTGGGCCTGAGGTCCAATGCCTGCTCGTGTTTGGCCTGGGCGCGTCAAGTACGTAGGGTTGAGCAGCATAATCGTGATCTCGATCGGCCAAGCCCAAGGTGGATTGTATCGGCGACGCTTTCCACGCCAGAGCCGTTTCTGAATCTGTTGAAGTTCTTCAAGCGCTGCTTCCTGCTCCTCTATGGTCGGTACATCCATGTACTCGCCTACTGGTTGTACGTCGGTCGTTCGCGATAATAGTCTGGAGACGGCAGTGGGATCGTCGATGTACATGCTGGGGTAAGTCATGTTTGCCTGGAGTCCGCCTTCAGTAGCTGCTACCTTTAATGCCTCAAAGTATTCAGCACCACTGGGTCGTGTAGCTGGTAGTGGTAAGTACGAACGTCTGCGGGCTCCAGTGCGGCGTCCAGCCCGAAGATAAGTAAGATACGATACGCGCGAAAGATCTCGGGCAGCCCATGCTTCGAATGTCCTGATCTAAGCTGATCTTCCACCAATGGTCCATTTCCCGTTGATGAGCCTTACGTTGCTTCTGAATATTTTTGAGCTCGCTGGAGTTGAAATCGTCGCCTTCGGCGCGTGCACGTCCGCGCTGTCGCAAGAGTTGGAGACGTTGCTGGCGAGCATCCTTCCACCACGTGGGCTTGTTGTTGTCCGTGCTGTACAGCTTAGCCGCGTTTGTGGTGAAAATATGATGCAGAACTGCATTGTGTCTGGTGGGGTATTGATCCATGCGTACTGCTCGCAGCACCTCCTGGTGTTTTTTAAATCACTTGCAACTGCCTCGACAAGCTCCTCAATATATGTGCCTTTCTGCAAACCTTGTACCAGTAGTCCCCAATCCCATCGGTTCGACGCCTGGAGTGGATCAACATGGGTGATGGGCACACGGAGATGGAGAACCATGGGCACCTGATCAGGAACATGCACAAGTGCGCGGACTCGTCGGTGGATTCTCCATTCGAGCTTAATAGTTTTGACGATCTCGAGCAAATTGGAATATCCCAATAACTGATCTATCCGTGAGCTGCTCTTGTTCGGTCCGTGGTAGGTGTACCCAACATCGCGATAGCTGTTGAGCGCTTTCAACTCGTGTTGGCGGAGGGCCGTATGTACTTCCTTTCCGAATGCTGTCTCAGTACTCGCTTGATAGGGTCCGATGGCTTCGTCCGTGTTCTTTTTACTGCCAGTCTTGCGAAGCCCCTGATTCAAGTCGGTGAAGACATTGGTATGACTCGGTCGGGCACCTCCGTCGTGACTTGAATGAGCCACTTCAATAATTTTCGACATCCCATCATCCATCTTTTGACATGCACTGCCTGTCTTGGTCGTGGCGGAAAGTGCGCCGTGATGAAGCGAAGTCGCATGGCGCCTCGGTGCACTTCCACAACGCCTCCTCGACCTTGAAGGTCAGCACTTTGATGTAACATGCGAACGATATCTGGCTTGCGAAAATGTTTCTTGCTGAGTGCGATGCTGCACCCCGCTGACGAATTGGAATGTAGTGCACGTCCCCAGCCAACGTGAATCCAATGATGCTGGATGCTGTCGTCGCTCTGGTGTGGAACGCCTCGAGCCTTTTGACGTAGCTTGGTACCAATCATCAGCAGGGCCTGAATCTTGTAGAAAGAATCTGGTATATCATCCAGTCGTCCTGGGGCACCCTTCAGCGTGAACGGGTTCCAGCCAACAACCGCCAGTGAAGTGACGTCGGTCGTAGCAACTTTCGGTCGTGGCGTGTAAGTGGGCAGGGGCGTGGTGGGCGTGGTGACGCAATGCCTCTGAGATCCCCCGCAGGGGGAAACGTCCGAAGGCCCAAGACTGGGACTTGTGCCGTCCTGCTTCAGCCCGTTATTGGAAGGCGCAGGTACAGCGCTGTTGGTCGGTCGGGACTCCTGGCCTGGAGACTCCTGGGCAGGTCCGTTCTGACTTTTCGAGCTATGGCGATGATGCGGACTATCGTTGGCGCACAGCCGATCTTGATACTGCAGAGGTCCATCCATTCCAATAGTGCGTCGCTCATCTGCAGCGTGAGGATCCGACTCGGCATCGTGAACATCGTAGCGTAGATCCTGTCCTGCCGCTCGGGCTTCCTGAGCATTGCCTTCGGCTCGCTGTGGATCGTGATCATAATCGCGTGGGTCTCCAGCGTCGTCAGGAGCTCGATGCTGCCCTGCGCCAATCCATTCAATGTCGCTGTACTCGTCCAGTCGGGCGAAGTCCGCCGACGCAGCTGCCTCAGCGCCCTCCAGCAGGTGAGTGTGCTCGTCATCGGCAGCTGACGTCC